CAATAAATTTCATTTTCTTTAGTATCCAGTTCCAGGTATTTTGTTATAAGCAACAGAAACAAACTAATACAGAAAACCGGTACTAGAGAAGTGGGCTGTTGCTTATAACAAATACTTGAAAATGTGAAAATGGCTTTGGAACTGGGTGTTGAGGAGAGGCTGGAGGAATTTGGAGGAACAGCCCAGAAAAACCCTAGATGCTGGTGAAAACTTAGAAGACAAGAAGACCAGGGAAAGATTAAAATGTTTGAGAGACTGGTTAAATGGTGGTGAGCATAATGCTGATAGAAACATGGATGGTAGGGCCGGCCCGGTGGCGCACTGGAGAGTGCGCTGCTTGGAAGCGCGGCGGCGCTCCCACCGAGGGTTCGGATCCCATGTGGAGACCGGTTCCCGNCATGGCCACTTGTAACAGCCTGTGCTGATTATAGCTGCAAAGGCACAACATAAAGCCAGACATGAAAAGGAAAGCAGAATGAAAAGATCTGAAAAACTTTCAGCCTAGCCATGTGGTAATAAAGCATACAGCATTTTCAGGAGAACAATTCAGTGGTGTAGCCCAATGGCCATTTGCTAAGGAGATGAGTACAGAAAAAAGGGATTATCAAGAGAAGGGAAAAAAGACCTTAAAGGCATTTCAGAGATCTTCCATTACAGTGTGTCTTCCATTACAGGCCCAGAGGCCTCAGGAGACAGAATGGTCTTGGGGAACAGGCCTGAGATGCCCTCAATGGGCTCACTGCCCAGGACCACCTCAGAATGCTGCTCCCCACTAGCACCCGAGCTGTTTTGGCTGCTCCAGCCATGGCTAAATTGGCCCTAAGTGTGACTGGACCTTCAGCTTTGGAAAATACAAGCAGGAAGCCTTGGCAGCATCCATGTGGTGTTAGGTCTGCAGGCTCGTAGAATACCAGAGTTGTGAAGGCTTGGGAGTGTCCACCCAGATTTCAAAGGATGTATGGAAAAGCCTGGGGGCCCAGGAAGAGCTTTATCACAGGGGCAGATTCACTGCATACAACCTTTGCTGGAGCAATGCCAAGAGGAAATGTGGGGTCAGAGTTGCAGCAGAAAAACCCCACCAAGGCCATGCCTAATGGAGCTGTGGGAGTGGGACCACCATGGAGACCCCAGAATTGTAGAGCTACCAGCATGCAATTAAGCTTGTGAGAGCTAAAACATCACCTGAAACCAGGAAAGCCATAGAAGTGGAGGTGCCTGAGGACTTGGGGACCCAACCCCCAGACCAGCATCGAACATGGAGTCAAGGTAAATGATTTGCCAGCTTTGAGATTTAATGCCTGCCCTGCTGGGTTTCAGACTTGCTTAGGACCTAGTACCCTGTTCTTTTGGCCTATTTCTCCCTTTTGAAATAGGAATATGTACCCTATGTTTGTCCCACCATTGTATCTTGGACATAGAAAACTTGTTTTGAATTCACAGATGGGATTTTGAACTTCGGACTTTTGAGTTGAAACAAGTTAAGACTTTAGGGATGAAATGAATGTATTTGCATGTGAAAAGGGCATGAGTTTTAGGGGGGTCAGAGATGGAATGTAGTGGATTTAATGTCACCCCCAAACTCACTGAAGCTTGAATTGTGTCCCCCAAGTTTTATATATCAGAAACTTGATCCCCACTGTGACTGTTGGGAGGGTAGAAAATCCTATTATGGTAATTGAAAGGTGAAACCTTGAAGAGGTGATTAGATTGTAGGACCATGCCTTAGTGAATGGATTAATAATGGTGGTCAGGGGTGTGGTTCTGAGGCCTTTAAAAGAAGAGCACATGTCCTGCTATTTTCTGCCATATGAGACCCCTGCATTGCTGTAAAGCCACCACCAAAGAAGACTCACCAGATGTGTTCCCTGGACTTTGGCCTTCCTAGCCTCTGAAACTGTAAGCAATAAATTTCATTTTCTTTAGTATCCAGTTCCAGGTATTTTGTTATAAGCAACAGAAACAGACTAACACAGGCTTGAAATAAAGAGTCTGTAACCACTGTAGCTAAAACCTGTGATCCCCCAAACAGCCCTCATTTCTGCTAAATGCTCTGACCCAAATAAACTATCCCCATTTATCAAAACCCTCTAACCTGGATGGCCAGTCTTCACCCTGTCACCTGATATTCTGTCCTCAAAGTCAGCCAAACTCCACATCTATAGCAACTTTGATAGGAAAAAAGCCCTGCCAGCCATTTCCTTCCCTCTGCGGCCAACACGCACCACTCTCCCCACTCGCTTGCATATTGCTCTGGGTTGCAATTCTGACCAGAAAACTGCTGATTACCCCTGTGGCAAAGAAAAAGTCTGGCAGGAAACTTTAGACCACTCCTGTGTGAGGCAACAGCAGGGCCAGGCTAGGGTGAGGCTCTGGGGTGCCACATTTAAGGAGGCCCTCACTCGAAGGTGCCGACCCTGCATTTATACTACCCCGAGAGTGAGCACCTCCTTAAATGCTGCACCCTAAATACCTCGCCCACCTCACTCTAGCCCTGGCCCTGGGCAACGGGATGCATTTCCTCAAACAGTGGTTCTCATAAGTGGCGCTGGGTCTCCTCCTCAGCCCTGGCCTTGAAATTCCGGCACCCAGTCAACTTTTATAGAGATGCCAGGCCAAAGAAACTGCCCCAAGGCCTGAGGAAACTCCATAAATGCTGTTGACTTAAGAGGCTGGACCAGAGACACCCTTGCCCAGTGCCTCTTGTCCCAGTGCCCCACCTGGGTTCATGGTGCCCTCCTCCCAGAGACACAGCTCAGTTGTCAGAAACCCAGGTCCTGAGGCCCCTCTTCCCCCAGAACTTAGGATGCCAGGCCCCAGGTCCCTCTTCCCTTAAGTTCAATGAGTCCAGGCCACCACCCTCTGGGGAGCCACCATCCAACTCACGAAGCGCCCGAAGCGGATGGAGTCTCCGTCCTCAATGTGCAAGTCAGCCTGGGCCCCGCTAAGGTGGGAGATGACAGACTGGCAGCCAGGGAGTAGGGAACGGAGCAGCCCTGAGCCCGTAACGTGGTCCGCATGGCAGTGGGTATTCACTGAGAGAGAGAGAAGGACAAGTTCAGGAGGGCACAGAGGACCCAGGATTCCTAGCCCGCAGACCACTTCTCCCTCAGACCCAGGAGGAGTCCAGGCCCCCAGCTTCCCACTCCACTTACTCTGTGGCCCTTTCACCTTCAGACCCAATAGTTTGGTCCCCAGACTAACCAGCATAAAGCAGCCGCAGCCCCAGCTCTTTGACCAACTGAGCATCCCGGGGTGCTGTCTCCAGAACAGGGTCGATCAAAAGGGCCTCTCGGGACTCTCTGTCAGCCAGTAGATACGTGTAGGTGCAGCTGACGGGCTCAAACATCTGGGACGGGGCAGGGCACAGGTGAGAGCGCAGAACCAGACTCCCACTCACTGGGAACCCAGGAGTCCAGGCCTCGAATCGATCCTCTTCCTAAGATCCAGAAGCAGTACCCCAGACTCTACTTTCCCCTGGAGTCAGGGGTCAGGAACCTCAACACCTACCTCCGTCTGAACCACAGTTCCAACTTTCTAACACGCTCCCCACCCCCCAAATTAGGGTCCCCAGTACCCTCTTTCGTAAATATCCTAGGAGTCAGGCCCCAAGCCCAGGGGCCCCCAGATCGCTCCCCTTTAAAGACCCCAGGAATCAAGCTCGAAGCTCCCACCACCTTTCTGCAAGATCCAGGCAAGGGGCCCCCAGGTCTCTCCCCATGCAAGGACCCAAGAGTTCCGCCCCTTTGGCTGCCTAGGGCCCAGTAATCCCGCTTCGGGTCCAGCCACCCCCTTTGGCTGCCTAGGGCCCAGGAATCCCGCTTCGGGTCCAGCCACCTCAGACCTGCCGTAGGAGGATGGGGGGTCTAGATCCGCTGCGCTGGCTCAGCCGCCGCCCTGCGATCCTCAGGGCTGTCCCCGCCATCACGCCTGGGGTGGGATCCGGGCAGAGTGCAGGCCGAGCGCCTATGAAGCCCAGTGCACCCAGGCCGACCCGGGAGGCGGGGCAAGGGCGAGGCGGGGCAAGGGCGGGGCGGGGCCGCCTTAAAGGGGCCGCCGGCGTCTGGGGCTCAGGGCGCCGGGGGCGAAGGGCGGGACGCCCGGGAACCAGGCTGGTGGCAATGGCTAGGCGCCGGTTTCTGAGCAAGACAGCGAGCGAGCGACGCAGGGACGCTCTGAGACCTGGAGAAACAGAGAACAGGGGGACACTCAAAGAGCGAGGGAGAGACGCTGAGAGACACAGAGATACCCAAGTAGAAACAGAGACAGAGAGGGAAGTAAAAACCCATCAAGAGGCCCCAGTACACCCCTGGCCATTTTCTAGCGGGTGGTTGGATGGTCATTGTTAGAAAGAAAAAGATGTTTGGTTCTAGGCCACTAGTGTCTTGAGGGACTTTTGGGTGGGTGCTTGGTTACCAGAACAACACCTGATCCCATTAAAATTCACCCCAAAATTGCTTAAGTATTTTATCAGGAATGTCTATCTCTTCCCAGGAAGAAATTTTTTTAAAATAATAATTTGCATTATATCTTGCAAAATCAGGTTGGGGACTATTTATCCTAGGTTGGGGTGTAGACCTCTAAAAACAGCTTTTATTAATTTACAACAAGGACCTAGAGCTGAGAAACTGTGTTGCCTAAAGTCATGGACTGTCAGAAAGTTTGCTCTTTGGAATCATATCAATAGTGAGAATTGGACATCCCACTCTTGTCTGGAGTATCTAAGTACTGTGTCCTCTTAAAGCAGCCTCGATTACCAGCTCAGGTGCAGAGCTTCTGAGGAGGGGTTTCCAGCAACAACATTACAAGTACATTTATCTTTCCTCTGGAGTTTCCAAGGAACTGTCCCTGGATGGGATTCTCAGTTAATCTCTTTACACAGGCCTGTTTTGCCTTGAGCCTACCAAATCCTGCTTCACTTAAATTTCATGTAAAGATACAGATCCCTGTATTGGCCAGCCACACACACACACGCAGGAAGAAATTTTTTTAAAATAATAATTTGCATTATATCTTGCAAAATCAGGTTGGGGACTATTTATCCTAGGTTGGGGTGTAGACCTCTAAAAACAGCTTTTATTAATTTACAACAAGGACCTAGAGCTGAGAAACTGTGTTGCCTAAAGTCATGGACTGTCAGAAAGTTTGCTCTTTGGAATCATATCAATAGTGAGAATTGGACATCCCACTCTTGTCTGGAGTATCTAAGTACTGTGTCCTCTTAAAGCAGCCTCGATTACCAGCTCAGGTGCAGAGCTTCTGAGGAGGGGTTTCCAGCAACAACATTACAAGTACATTTATCTTTCCTCTGGAGTTTCCAAGGAACTGTCCCTGGATGGGATTCTCAGTTAATCTCTTTACACAGGCCTGTTTTGCCTTGAGCCTACCAAATCCTGCTTCACTTAAAAATTTCATGTAAAGATACAGATCCCTGTATTGGCCAGCCACACACACACACGCACAAAATTATGTAAAGGCCATCTTTCCCCTAATCTTCTATAACCCTCTCTCTCCCTGTGTTTGGAAAGGTGGCTAGTGCTCCCACTGTGATCCTCTCTCCTTAACTACAGCAAGTCAACAAACTCAACTTTTGTCAGACTCCTAGCATATTCCTTTATTGGAGGAGAGACTCAAAAAGCCATTCAGAGACAAGAAAGATGCTCAGAGACTTGAAAGAGACTCAGAGATACCAAAGAAAGAGACCCAGAGAGCTGTTCAGAGATATATGGTTGAAATGGATTATCCTACAAAGAAATAGGGCTTACAAAGATAACACTTGGAGATTCTAGAAGATTGTGAGAGATGGGGAAGGGTGTTGAGAGATCAGAGCAAAAAGGATTGTGGAGGGCTGGCCCATGGGTCACTCGGGAGAGTGTGGTGCTGATAACACCAAGGCCACGGGTTCAGATCCTATATAGGGATGGCCGGTTGGCTCACTAGCTGAGCGTGCTGCTGACAACACCAAGCCAAGGGTTGAGATCCCCTAACCGGTCATCTTTTTTTTTTAAAAAAAAAAAGGAATGTGGAGAGAGAGGAAGAGAAGACACCCAAATAGGTGAGAACAGGCAGAGAGAAAAGCTCAGAGCCAAGAAGAGAACTTTGCACATGTATTCCAAGCATGAGGTCTCCTGCATGCCTGGCCCAAGCTGGGCAAAGTTGGAGACCAGGAGGTTAAGTCCCCAGTCTGGTTGGTGAGGGAGAGAGTTGGGGACATCAGGGCTAAGACTAAGGGAGGTACAGAATTGGGGGAGCTCAGGGAGGGAGGAGCCAGGGAAACGGGGACTCTCATGCAGTTTATTTTAAAGGTCCCCCAAATAAGACCTCTTCAACCCTGAGACCCTTTACTTTTGTTTTTGCAGGGTTTCTAGGCCATTTACTTGTGCCTTGAAGACACACCTTGTGTGGTTTTTGTAGGCTCAGCTGTGAGACGTCCTAGGAGTTAGAAACCTTGGCTTCACTCTTCTCTGCTGTGTGACCTTGGGCTGAAAACTTATGTTCTTCTGGGTTTCAGTTTTCTATCTATAAAATAAGGCTGAAAATAGTTCGTACCCCCTTTGTGAAGATCCAGTGAGTTCACACAGGTAAAGACATTGGAAGAGTGTGCCTGGCACAGAATACGCCCTCAGTGGGAGTTGGCTATCATTATTTCTTTTTTTAAAAAAAGATGACCAGTAAGGGGATCTCAACCCTTAGCTTGGTGTTGTCAGCACCACGCTCAGCCAGTGAGCAAACCGGCCATCCCTATATAGGATCCGAACCTGTGGCTTTGGCGTTATCAGCACCGCACTCTCCCGAGTGAGCCACGGGGCCAGCCCGGCTATCATTATTTCACCACTATTCTTGACTACTTCCTCCCCTTACCACCTCCACCCAATTCATCACTAGGTCCTGTTGAGTTAACCTCTTTTTTTTTTT